TTTCACTAATCAAGCTACCCTTTCTTTGGGTAGTTTTTGCTGTCTGCTAGCTGCTTCTAGTCTCTCTTCTCTTATGTCACAGCCACTGGAGACTCTTTAGCTCTTTTCAAAATCATTGATCACCCATTGAGACCAGTCTGCAGCAGTAGCTAGGTTTTCAGCTTTTAATTAAACAGGAAAGGGTTGGGGAATCAGCTGAAGATTAGGCTATGTTCCTGCTCTATTCAGCAATAACACTGGAAAAATCTGCTTTTTTTCAGTCTGCCTCCCCAAAAACAAAGTGTGTGTCTTATTTGGGGGTTTATGGTATGTGAGGAAATACAGTAATCATTATAGTCCTTGTTAGTGAGGAATTTTACCACCATGAAAAAGGCATAAAAAATGCTAGGGAGTCTTGAAAAAGGAGCAGTCTTTGAAAGGTTGCCAGTAAAGTCACAGGAGGTGGTGGTGGAGGACTCTTCTGCCATTATTTTCCTCTGTCTTCATTATCCCTCCCACATTCAGTCTGAAGCAATATCTGTATCATGGCACTAACCTTGCAGCTAAGGATATGGACCTTGTCTCATAAGACCGGTCGAGTCCTAATGGCAGTGAATAAGAAAGATGCAGTACCGTACTTTTCTGTGTTGGGCTGGAACTGTGTGCACGCACCCAGGATTAGCCATAAACCAAATTCCCCCATGTGGCTTGTCTGGTGCTACTGAAGGATAGATCCTGTCCCCACCGGCAAATGCTTACATGGGCAGTTCCTACTGCTTTCTCCAAAGTCAGTTGTGGGATTAGGCTAACCAGCCTGATTAAGAAGTACATTATCAGGCGTGTAGCCTTTTTAAAGATGGAGGGATGGCATGAGTGGAAGAGGCGAGGAGGGTTGGCACAAGTGGAAGAGGTAGTCACATGAATTATCATGTAGATCCAAATTTACCTGGTGGGGGGAAGGGTAAAGTGATTTATCTGAAGTCTGGCATTTTGTTATGCACCAAGGCAGCTGTTGGAAATAAAGCACTAAAAAGGAGCTCCTCCCCCTCCCCCTCTCCCTCCATTTCTCTTGAAAGCCCACTTTCGCTGTAAAAATGAGCATGACCCTGGAGGTCAGTTAGTGTTAGAATCTGATCCATTATGGTGAGAGATTTCAGCATCCTCTGGCTCCAGAGTGGTGGACTTAAAAGGCTCACTTGACACACACAGCTTTTCTGGGGGTGAAACCATCCTTATGTAGGGGATAGCATGCTGTTGATGGAGATAACTCACTGCTGAGGTCAGGAGCAAACCAATTTTCCCTTTATACCAGCATCTACTACCATAATCTAATAGGTATAAGAGAGAAAAGAAAGTAGAGTTTATAGATGCATTTTGAAGACAGTGTACTTTTTAAAATTCATTTTAATCAAGTGATTTTGAAGTGGATTTTTTTTTTTGCATTGAGAAGGTTATTTTCTGAACACCTTGGTAATAT